AACCTTATACAAGGCCACTGTGAATTGGAACCAACACAACACTTAACGATCACTAACAAGGTCAAGTACCATTTTATGCATTTTGAAAGTTTTATGATTAGGGTGTAATTTAAGACACAGAAAAATACACTCTACCAGTGTCCAGTCCATTTAATTCTTCCTGGCCACCAGATTCCTTCTGCCCACAGCTTATGACTTGGTTGTAGGATTTCCCCCAAGTATTCTCCATGCTTTGTTTACAAATGTTGCATCTCCTTGGTGTTTTGTCTTGCTTGCTACCTTTGTTTATGGGGCTTTGGGTGGTCAGATACATTTTTTTCCCTTCAAGAGAAGCTTAATTTTGACTTTTGTAAGAAATCTTCTACAATAATAAGGATGTTCAATGTTTTGTTTTTCTAGGTTTTCAGCGCAGTGCTCAGCTGCTTCAAAAAGTTAATGGCTTTAACCACCAGGGGGCGCACCACTGGAGAAAGAGCTGCAATTTTCTGCCTACCCGGTAAGTCAGAAACATGCTTTTAAATTTTCAAATATTCAAAAACATTTTCATTTCTTTGTAAATATATTGTATACCTCCCATTTCTGTTGAAAAAGACTGTATATTTTCTGTCTTTAGGGACAAACGTGTCAATGTCTGTGAGAGATCATTAAAATTATTATATCAAAATTATTAGAGAGGTCAACTTTTGCTTTCTATATTTTGAGCATTATTGCTAGATAATTACAAGTTTTTGATTGTTATTTATTGGCCTTTAACTCTAATTGTCCCAAATATATATAATATATATAGTATTATATATATGTATATTTATATTAGATAGAACATGTATTTAAATATATTTTAACACTTTGCATGTTATCAATATTGCTAGACCAGCTCCCTTTCGGTGTTTGTCACATATATATGTTGTTGTTAAGTGCCGTGGAGTCGATCTCAAGTGGTAGCAATCCTGTAATAGGATTTCTGAGGCTTTGAATCTTTTGCAGGAGCAGAAAGCCTCATCTATTTTATTCAGGGTAGCTGGTGGGCTTGAAGCACTGACTTTGTGGTCAGTTCCTTATCTTCTGGAGCCACTGTGCTCCTCTGAAACTCTATACAGGGTCACTATGGGTCGAAGCTGACTTAATTGCACTTGACTACATATATATGTCCACACACACGTTATTACGTTGCTGTTGGTTCCGATTCTGACCCTGTAAAGACTTTCTGAGGAGCAGCTGGCAGTCTAATGCTTATCCTACAGTGCCATATATGTATATATGGCTACATATGTATATATTATCGTACATGTGTATATGTATATATGGCTCACCACTGGACTGCGAACCACAATGTTGTCAAGTGACATCAAGTTGGTTCCAACTCATAGTGATCCTTTATAGAGTATCTGAAGAGTAGCTGGTGACCTTGAACCACCAACCTTGTGGTTCAAACAGACCTTGCAGTCCAGCGCATTA